GTGCTATACATACATCACTATGGTATGCTGTACCCTCACCAGTCCTCGTCACACTCGCCTTCCTTTCCGACCCCATGTTTAATATACACATGGCTTCGTTACCTTAGGCTTATGGCTCCTCTTTTCTCGCCTCCTCACCCTCACCTCCTTTTCTCACACTGTGGTTTGTTGTAAGATACCCAGCAGCCACCCAAATCTGTCGGGAAGAGAAAAGACCGTGAACTCAAAGCGAAAGGCTGTTTACTTCGGCCACAGCAACCACCAGCTTGCTCGCTCTCCGTCTTCCACCGCCACCAGAGCGTGGCAATACTGTGCGTGGCTGTGCTGCACCCTCCTCCTTCGTCCATTTCCTTCTCAACGTTACGTCACTCCTACTGTCACTCACTTCCATTTTCCACCCATTTGTTTGCTACCTATACAATAATATCTTTACCCTCTCCTCTTTCATATCACCCTCACATTACTCCTCGTCACCCTCACTTTCTTCCATTGTCATTCTTCACTCTCTCCTATTTCAGTTTCTCCTCGCCCTCACTTGCCCATCCCGCTTGCTTTACTTTTTTACTCTTTTCACTTTCTCCTGTGCCACTCCTTAAAGAAATTATCCAAAAAGCATTTTTTGGTGTTTATTTCAAGAAACCCCTGAAGGCCTTCACTGGGAGGATATTACATAGGGTGGGTGGGGTGTATGATGAAATAAGAATATCATTCTACTAAATTCTGTTCGGGCCTTTTCAGCTAATGAAAATCCCATGACTGCCTGCTAAGCTTCTTTTATGGTGGAATTAGAGTACACGCATCTTCGGTCTTCCAGAAAACTTTCCCGGGAGCAACTTGCCTTTAAATCTCTGGTTTATTTACCACCCTTTTGCTTACGATAATTTACACTGTTGTTTCACAGTGCAGTACAAGTCAAACGAATATATCTAACCATTGATTAGAGCGAAATAATTTAAAAATGAAAAATGTATCTGAACACCTACAGAACAAAAAATACAACAGATAAATTGCCGACAACTGAAACTAAGGATTACGTCATTTTCTTATATACAGCTTCATTATAACCAAATTTGGATCATTACGCAAATTGCTCAGGTTTAGTACCTCCTACGGTATATTGTGCTTACGGAAAAGCCCGTTTAAAAATTAACGCACATGATCAATTACTTACTGGGCAAACTGGTGCATACAATGCGCTATTCGGAAACGCGTTTTCAAACACCTGACGTAAACTTCACGAGTGATCATTCTTCGCCCTGCGCAGGATCGCACGACCACTCTAACTGTCTCGGCAGATAGACTCTCCGAAGGCACAAGCACGAAGGTGTCATGTCGTCGCCGGATCATTCTGTGTCTCCGACATCGCAAACGTCCTCCACGTCTACCCCGAAGCCACACTCCGAGGGAGCAGCGGAAGCGCGCAAGCCACCTGACGCCTTTGGAGAGACCAACGTGCAGGAGACCACACCAAAGTGAGGCCCTGAAACACTTTTTCATCATGAGCCGCAAGCGCTGCCGATCGGTAGTCGAGCCTTTTGAGAACCCGAAGTCAAGCACAGCACGTGGCGTGGAATTTAAAATGAATTACCAAAGTCACCTAGCAATCATTCTCTCTTCTCCGCATAAGTGATGCCGTAAACCGAAATGGCAGCGCCATAAACGAAAAGTCTCCGGCCATTGGCAGTTTTCAGCATCGTGAGCTGCATAGCTTTCGTGGCGCACGCTGCAGCATGCCGCCATGTTTCCTCACGCTCACTCATGAGCGCACTAAAAAAAAGCCACACACATCTTCTTGCCCATAGTCATCGCCGTGCCTACGTAGCTTTCAAAGCACTTGCTTGTAAAGAAGGAGAGAGAAAGCGCTTAGAGAGTGCTGCGAATTTTCATGGCTGTCAACTGATCAGGTTATAGGATCTTTTAATGAAGTCATTTGACCGTTACTTAAAAAAACAACAGCTTTGCCGCAATTGTGATGCAATGAACAAGGTAGCAACAAATTGGAAGGTCACGCGCAGAATGGCAAGGAGATCGAAGCCTGTCCCGCGTTTCTCACGCACAAATGACGCACGAAATGTACTCACACGTACAGATGAACGCGAATAAGCACATATTGTCAGTTGTTACTTCGCTGTGTCTGAAAAGCGCGTGATTTTCGCAAACGGAGGCTGTGCAACGATTGCATTGACCTTCGTGCGCGCCGTAACTACAACAGAATCGTACCAGTGCAAGCCCAACGCCAGCCAAGACGTATGATCCTTCCCACCGGGAGATAAGGCCTCGCGAGAGATCGTTTACTCCCCTCCACTCCGCGGGCCAAACTGCGCCTGAGAGATGGGAGCCGCCGCGCGCTCTTTGCGCCATCTTGGTGGTAATGCTGAAAACACCATAGTTGCCCACCTCTCACCGAGATGCCTGGCAACACCGGTAAGCAGTAGATATAAATACCTTGCCGTTTGAACGTCCAAGGAGGCACCTCTCTGTGGATCAGCGGTTAACGCCACGAATTCACGACGTGGAGGTCCCACGTTCGATTTCGCGCGCAGAGTCTTTTTTTCTGGATATTTTTCTTTATTGCGTTTTCATGTATATAATTACGTACGGACATACGGGGCATGACATCGACGCCCACGCCAACGCCGGCAGCGAAATCCAGCCGAGAGTGTCCATATAATTGCTGATTGCTGATTGATATGTGGGGTTTAACGTCCCAAAACTACCATTTGATTATGAGAGACGCCGTGGTGGAGGGCTCCGGAAATTTCTACCACCTGGGGTTCTTTAACGTGCACCCAAATCTGAGTACACGGGCCTACAACATTTCCGCCTCCATCGGAAATGCAGACGCCGCAGCCGGGATTTGAACCCGCGACCTGCGGGTCCGTAGCCGAGTACCTTAGCCACTAGACCACCGCGGCGGGGCCAGAACGAGGTGAAGCTCTGCCGCTTCAGTGCACTTTAAATGCTGCAAAATCATAAACGCCAGCATCGAAGAGCAGCCGACGACGATGATGCTGAGGGCGAGTGAAGGAAATAGCCTCGTCTTGATGAAGAAAACACCGTAGAAAACCGAATGGACGTCTGACGGTCTCGGTGCAGCGGCACATCGCCTCTCATTGCGAACGGCGCCATACTGAATTCGTCGTTGGTTCATCGTGACTCTTACGTCATAGTAATGAGCGGCCGCAGTTGGACGCGCGTAATACAAATTGACAGTGGTACACTTTACTTATTATTCTTTGCTTGTCACCGAGCGTTCCACACTGAAAGGGTCTCTTCGACCATTCACGTCTTCTTCTAAGCCTCGCAGAGGTCAACCCATTTTCTCATGGTCGTGCATGAGGGGCATGCTTTTCGATATCGCGACAAGCTCGAGCTGCCACGAGAAATGAAGGTGGTAGTGGTTAGAAGGGGAGGAAGGCACCTCATTTCTGCAGCCCGGTGGGAAGCACGGCGCAGTGCCAACACAAGAAATGGCATACGCGAACACAGCGGCTCACCACCACTCCGCACTTGCTCTCTTTCGTCCTTGTCCGCTCTATCGGTTTTGCCGACGATGGTGACGCCGCCTAACTTTGAAACAAGCGCCGAAGAGATGCGCTTAAAAAAACTAGCCCTTTTAGGAGCAACATGACAACTATAGTGTTTCAAAATGGAGCGCTTCAGAGCCACAGAGAAGCTACGAGTTAGTGGCGTTGAATTCAACACTTGAAGAGACGATGCCCTAAGTGTGTGGTTGCGGGTGCGTGAGTAGTACATGTGCCGGGGCTGGGACGATTGCGGCATGCTCTTTTGTAGCTCTCCGCACACGTTCATTAGTGTTCGTGCTCATAGGCATGCGCAGGGCTTCCATTCAAGGAAGGGGTGGTGAAGGTTCGTCGCAGCACCCGCCCCCTTCAGTTTCAATAAATGCAGCTGACTTGACATCCCCCTCCACGAGCACCCCCTCCTTGTTATGTCTATGTGTGGGGATGACATTGCGCCCCCCTCTCAGGTGACTAGGCGTGGGATGACCCTCCTTGTTTGTGCTAAATACATTAAAATACTGGTGAGATGACGAGGCTTATTCATTCAGCAATAGAGTAATAGAGGGCACAGCAACACACTGCTATTGTTGTTTCATGTATAAGATTGCGTAAAGTCACGTTATCAAAAAAGATATTTACTTATGGTCCTTTATGCTTGAGCCCCAGTGGCGGCATTTGTGCAGTCCGGACATGGACCTGTACTGCTTTCAATAAAGAACTGCTTGGCCACCGCTGCTGAAGCTTCCTGATATTGATAGATATTAGCTGCAAATAAACGGAAGCAGAGCGCTTCTAATCGTAGGTAACACGTCTTTTTTTTTCTTGCATAGAACTTCCAGTATAGCGATGTCACCCGCCTCTGGAGTGGCATCACCACCTGAAGTGCAGCCACGGAGCCCGCTGCAGCCGCAACAGCTGCGGCCGAAAAGCCCGTCCACAACGACCACGCCTGACGCCGTGGAAGAGACGCCTGCGATAAAGACAGCATCCGAGACACCGGCCAAGTCACCGCTCCCTGGCGAACAGACAGCTTCGGTGTCGACAACGGTGTCGCTGCTGCGGTCCACCGACCGAGAAGCGAAAGCGTCCGTTCCTGTAAGCGGGAGTGAAATCCTGATACCGAAGAGCAAAGTCGACCGCACCACCGCTCCAGCCACGAAACAGGAGGATGAGCTGAAAAAGAAGCGGGACCTCCTGTGCGGACTGCTCGGAGTCTACCCAGACTTCCTGCAGAAGTACCGCACGGCCCGCGTCACTCTCGTCGTCTTCTGCCTGGTCTCATTCACGCGCAGTTTCTCCATGAACGGAGTAATGATGGTGGTGCTGCCGACGCTTGAACGGCGCTACCAGCTCATGAGCTACGAGAGCGGCATGATCCTCAGCAGCAATGACGTGGGCAGCTGCCTGACCATGCTGCCCGTGGCTTTCCTGGCCACGCAACGAAACAAGCCACGCTTTATCGGTTAAGGCGTCGCCATGTTGGGACTGGGCAACTTGGTTGTGGCCGCGGTCCACTTCCTCTCACCGGCTTATCAGCTGTCGCAGGCCGGGACCGATTTGTGCCCGATGGTGGATACGGTTTCGTCGTGCACGAGGTCCGGAAGCATAAGGTGCGCAGCATGGCATATAAGTCAGTATGCGTCGCTCTTGGAATTTATATCTGAGATGAAAAGTTCCAGTTTCCCCGCAAGGGTATAAAAGGAATTCAATAGAAACAAATTGGGATGGGATACACTTTAGGTAATACACTTTATGATCCGATCTGGCACTACTATATCGCTTCAACGAGAAGAAGTGAGAGGACAACACGGCTGATCTCTGTAGAAAGAGCACGTACGACCACGCCCTTTTTCATCAATGGTCGCAGTTGCTGCCAAAGTAGCTCCCCCCTCCCCACCCACCCATTCCGCCCTACCGTAATCGCCTGTTCACCCGGGGGAGGTGGCTGGTGCGTCTGGTCTCTGCTTTAGCTGCGCCACTCTGCGCTTTTGCCAGCCATTGGAGCTCTGGACGAAGAGCCTCACCCACTTTAGCTACTAACAAACAGTACTAATAAACGTTTTTCTCTCTCCAGCGAGTAAGTATCATGCCTGAAGCGCGGGTCTTAACGTATATATCGTCTACGTAGAGGGCACACACCAGTAAAATGGTGCGAAGTGTTGCGAAGACAGATGAGGCTGCGACGCTGGTGGCGTTACCCTCCTCCTCACCTCTCCATATCTTTGCTGCTTTTATCGGTCTTTCTTTCATTTCTTGTCGACTTCTTTCTCCCTGTTTCCTCATTCTCGCACCACCTTTGCGTGGTGTTTCTGCATATCGGTCTATCCAAGTTCGTATGTCCATCCCCGCTCAGTACACTGTGTGTTGAACAAAGTGGCAAGGGTGGGCAAAAAGTATGTGTATCTTTTACCAGCTGCAAATATTGCTCACTTGATTACTCTGACCAGTGCTGATATTAATGAGATGTAGTTTTACTGTGCACCCAAAAAAGCACAGCTTAACATGTATTGTGTATGACTTGGCGCATTTACGCTTCCCTTGCAGAAACTTCCGGTTCGTGATGATGCTTGGACAGTTGCTCAGTGGACTCGGTGCCACGCCCATCAACACGGTCACAATCGCGTACATCGACGAGAACGTGCCGAGGAGGAAATCGAGCTTCTATATTGGTGCGCATTTGGCATAACGCACGTTCAACTGCGCGTAAAAAAGTAGCTGCTTGCGTGGGACAGCAAGTGTTGCCAATGTTTCACCGAAACTTGTCCTTCGTTAGCGGTACTGAACGGGCTTCCGATTTCATGTGCGGTTTCGCGTGCATTCCTGCCCAGAGTTTTGATTATATTAATAAGGGTCAATTTCACAACGCAGGGCAGGTGTAATGCTTCCCGTTTGCCTAGGCCTACGTGTACAAGCAATAGCACGAACTACTAACTAATACGACATGAAGTGCATGCTTGGGTGAGTAGGTAAGGCAAACTATAATTTAATCCAGCGCAAGGACGCAGATGAATTCTGGGTTCTCTTACTCTAGGTGTGTTTTGTGGTGCTTTAAATTTTAGGGAGGGAGACGCAGGGGGCGCCGACCAGTGCGGACGCGAGAAGATCGGCTCCCGTTTCTGTTAATGTTTTCGTTAGGATTTTTGTGGTGCCTGTGCTCGAGCTGCGTTTCATTCGACGCAGTTTCTTCTGAGGATCACGTCGATACCAGACTTTTTTCGGTGAGTGGTCCTTTTGCTGAATTATTGGAACTTTTCTTGTGGAACGTGCCGCGGCTCGGCTAACCCTACCGGGCTAAGCCTAGCGTCGACGGCGAGGGGCGGGAGAAAAGGGGCAACATGCCCGAGGTAGAGATGGTGGAAGGAGAGGAAATCTCTCACGAAGAAGCCAATCGCCCGGGTTGGACGACAGCGCTGGGCAGGAACAAGAAAGCTCGTGTAGAAACGCCAGTTTCCGCGGGCAACGCATCACATGTGGGCTCGAAGGGAGGCCGCCGCACGGCAGCCCCGCAAGGTGCAATGAAGCGCCTCGTAGCTGCATCGAGGCTCCCCCGGCTGCCGAGGGACCACATACGAATTATCATCAGGCCGAGGGACGGACTTGACGTCAGAAAAGTAAGCCAAATTAGGCTCGCACAGGCTATTGCCATGGCGGCTGCTCTTGCCCCGGCAGAGACGGAAGGGGACATCGTTTGCCCAAACATCGCCCAGAACATTCTCGTAGTTTCCACACCGAAGCAGAAGAACGCAAACGCCTACGCCGCGATCCAACAGATTCGGATAAGCGAAGGAATGTACCATGTGGCGGCATATGTCGCGGCTCCCGATAACACCTGTAAAGGAGTCATACGAGGAGTGGACACTGACATCAGCGAGGCCCAGCTCCAAACGATGATCGTCAACAAGCGAAATCCGAAGGCCCTAGAAGCCAAAAGGATAAAGAACACCACCACTGTGGTAGTGCTTTTCGACGGCATGAAGGTACCAAACTATGTCATATGCGGCGTCAGCATGCTGCGCTGCACGCTCTACAAGCGCCAAACGGACGTGTGCTACGCGTGTGGAGGACTTGGTCACAGGGCCGATGTTTGCAACAACCCCAACAAGAGGGTGTGCAGGGGCTGTGGGCTCGTGTCTCCACCCGACGATCACCAGTGCTCGCCGAAATGTGCCCTTTGCGGAGGCCCACATCCGACGGCGGACAGAACGTGCAAAGAACGCTTTCAAGTTCCTTACGTCGTGCGACGGAGAAGACGACGGCGCCGAAAGCGCGTCAAAAAGTCTCAGCAACAGCTGGCCGAAGAAGACCGGTCAAGGGATTCCAGCGTGGCAAGTGCTCCCAGGCAGGGGCGTTCCGTCACGCCGGCTGGCCGCCGGCGCGACCGCTCCAGGGGCCGCGCTCGCACCAAAGGGCGCTCTTGCTCCCGGGCACGAATCCAGGAAGTACCTACCTGGGCGGATCGAGCCAAGCCGAAGCCAGCGGCGCCGCCACCAGAGGTAATGCGGGTACCATTGCCAGAGCATAGAGAAGACCACAGGGTAGCTAAGTTGATCCAAGAGAATGCTTGCCTTAAGGCAGAGATTCAACAGCTGAGGGCTGACCTTGAGTCGTTCCGCAAACATTACTCCTCGCAGGGTGAGAGACAACAGATTCCCCCACCAGGGGACGTGCAGGCGCGCTCGGGAAAACGTAGGGCCTCACCCCCCCAAGGAGAGTGGGATGCTATGGAGACAAAATCCAACAGCAAGGCTCTGGAAAGCATGCAGCAATCGATTAAACAACTGGCTGATAGCATGAATACCCTACTGAAAAGGGTGTCGTCTCTTGAAGGTACACAGGCAGCGCTAGCTACGGGTAGCTCGCCTCCGATAGGCCCGAACAGGGCATAGTCGCCTGCAGGCGCGGTAGCAGTCAACCCGACAGGAGATTGGCTGTCCCAGAACAGTAATTATGGCGGGCAACACTAATGAACTGGTCGTGTGGCAGTGGAACTGTGCCAGTTTCAAAAGGCGCAGGGCTCCACTGCTGCACTTTATTGCTTCTCAGGCGGTCAAACCGCACGTAATTATGTTACAGGAAACTCTCGATGATGCGCTAACTTTCCCGGGCTATCGAGTCGTGTCGGTGCGCGAGCAAGGGAAGCGCGGTTTGGCAACCTTGGTCGCAAAAAAGTGCTCCTTTCAAGAACACAAACTACAGCTTGGCAACAGCAAGGCTGAGGTCATTATCCTCGAAATAATCCCCAACAGCTGGCTCAAGAACAGCGTATTCCTCCTGAATGTGTACAGCTCGCCGTCGGACAAGCGGCAGGGGTTCGCTTCGATCATGGCAAAAGCGGTGGCTCTGGCCAGGGGGGGCCCCCATCGTGGTAGCGGAAGACTTTAATGCTCCGCACGACGCTTGGGGATACACCAGGCAGTCCCCCAAAGGCAACAACCTCCTAAAGGCCGTATCTAGCTGTTCTCTTGAATTGATTACGGACCCGCAATACCCGACAAGAATTGGCACATCGGTGGTCCGAGACACAACTCCAGACTTGGCGTTCGTCAAGAACGTCGCCGGAACAGGGTGGCAAAATTTGCAAGAGAATCTAGGTAGCGACCACTTCATAGTGGCTATTACCCTAGCAGTCAATGCAGCTCCCCCTAGGGAATTTAAAGTAACGGACTGGAATGCCTTTCGTAAATTGCGGAAGGAGGACCACGATGAATACGACAGCTTAGACAGCCTCTTTGCAAGGCTCAAGGAGGATGCTAATGCTGCGACCAAGGTTTTCAAAACGAACCTGAGGGTTGATCGGATGGATGCACGCTTCGCGCATCACTTAGAGGCTAAGAATTCCATCCTGTCCCGGTGGAGGACGCAAAGGCTCAATCGCCGACTTCGAAAGAAAATTGCGCAACTCAATCGCGAGATCGAAGCCTACTCTATTGAACTCTCCAAACAGCAGTGGAATGAAGTATGTTCTTCGGTTGACGGACAGATGAGAGTGGGGGCCAAATGGAACCTCCTCAAACAATTACTTGATGAGTCACAGTCGAAGGTAAATCAGCGATTGGCTATTGACAGAATCGTTCACAACCAAAAAGCGAAGGGAGTGTCCGAAAAGGCCCTCCTGAAGAGGTTAGCGGACAGCTATCTTCCGCTGGGCCCTTCCGGCGACGCGGACTATTCCATTACAGGGGTGGAATGATGGCGGAGCTGGACGCACCTTTCACTGAACCAGAAATCTGTAAGGTCCTCCACGAGCTCAACGGACGCTCTGCACCGGGCCCGGATGGAATCTCAAATAAGCTCTTACGTAACTTGGATGGCAAACCCATCGAGAAGCTTACCGAGGAAGTCAACAGGATCTGGGAGACGGGGCACGTCCCCGAATCCTGGAGGACAGCTTCGGTAGCGCTTATCCCAAAGCCAGGCAAACCTCTGGCTTTGGAGAACATGCGACCCATCTCGCTTACGTCTTGCGTAGGCAAGGTGGCCTAACATGCGATTCACCATCGGGTATCCGAGTATATAGAAAGCAGAGAGCTATTTCCACACAATATGGTAGGATTCAGACCTGCACTATCCACACACGACGTGATGCTCCTTATCAAAAGACAAATCATTGACAACAACACCAGGGATACTAGAGGCATACTAGCTCTAGACCTAGCCAAAGCTTTTGATAATATCTCGCACAAGTTTGTGCTTGAGGCAATTTCGGTTATGGGTCTAGGACAACAGTTCCACGCATACGTTAGGTCTTTTCTCAGGGATCGCAGGGCTACCATTAGGATCGGTCAAATCCAATCCACGGAATTTACCTTGGGAGCGAGAGGCACCCCACAGGCGGCAGTTATCTGTCCTCTACTCTTCAATATTGCCATGAAGGGCCTCTCGGAGTGACTCGCTACGGTGCGCGGGGTTAACCATGCTCTCTACGCGGACGATATCACCGTGTGGTGCATGGGAGGGTCCGACGCCGGGGTAGAGCAGGCGCTTCAAGAGGCATTAGACATCACGGAGAACTTTCCAGTCGGTTCGGGTCTGAGCCTGTCATCGGCAAAGTCTGAGTTACTACTATACAGACCCACCCGACAAGGACTGAGGAACCTCACTCCTATAGAACAGATTCCCATAGCTTTATACACACGGGATGGGCAGAAAATACCCAGGGTGGACTCCATCAGGGTCCTCGGACTCCTGCTAGAGTCCAAGGTGGGCAACTCACGAACTATAGCCCGCATCACCTCCAAGACGGAGAACATGCTTAGGCTCATACTCAGGGTCTCGAACCGCAGGGGTGAGCTGAGCGAGAGCAATCTCCTTCGGCTCTATCATGCATTTCTCATGAGCCACACTAATTATGTCGCTTCGGCGTTGCGCTGGTCCAAAAGAGAAGAGGCAAGAATTGATACACTAATGCGCAATAGCATAAAGCGAGTTCTAGGCTTGCCTATCCACACTAGCACCGAGAAGCTCCTACAATTGGGCATGCATAACTTCCTCTCGGAGGTGATCGAGGCACAGCAGATGGCTCAGGTCGTGCGACTATCGTCCTCGAGGGCTGGTAGGCGCATCCTGGAGTCCATAGGCTGCGGTCTTACGGCGACTAACCAGCGTAATGTAACACTAGCACCCTCGATCAGAGGCACGTTTTGGGTAGCTACACTTCCAAGAAATGTCCACCCACAATACAACGTAGGGCGCCGCATAGCTCGGGCCCGTTCCTTATTAAAATCAGTTGCAAACAGACCGCATCTCGCGACCTTTGTCAATGCAGCCCAGTACGGGCGTTCGGATCGCTTCACAGTGGTCTCGGTCGATCATAGTGGCACACTCCTATGCTCTGCCTTGGTTAGAAAGGTTTCAGCAATGGTGGCTGAGCAAATCGCCATCGCCATAGCAATGAAGGACCCATCGCGTCCTAATGCCTTTACAGATTCGCGATCCGCAGCTAGGGCTTTTGCCTCGGGCTCGATCTCGCGTGAGGCAGCGGCCATCCTCGGCTGTGAGGGGGCTGCCGGGTTTCACACCATAACATGGTTCCCGGCCCACATGGGGCCAACGTACATCCTGATGTCCCCAACGCCAATGAGTTTGCCCATAACCGTGCGCGAGGTATCGCTCACCGCGGCGGTCCCGGCGGATTCGCAGGCGGGGACGCCGGAAGATACAGGGACTCGCTACTCACTTTCCACGAGATCATGACTCATTATCATCTATCTCGGAGGGCTTTTCCACTTCCTCATCCTAAACTTACGCGACCGCAATCACCGGCCTACAGGATGCTCCAAACGGGGTCTTTCCCTTCGCGAGGCAGGTTCAGTCATTTTTCGCCCAACATCGAGCCGCATTGTGGCGTATTGCTCATTACCTCATATGCTCTGGCAATGTCCTGCGTTACGTGACGCAGAGTTCAACAAAGAAGAGGACTGGGAGGAAGCCCTTAACAGCGGCGACCTCTTGGTTCAACTTCGGGCTGTCCAGAGGGCCTGCGAAAGGGTGGAGGGCCACGGCCTTCCGGTCCCTACGTGGGAGCGGCCCGCGACTGCTACGGATTCCCCCTAAATGGGGCCGTTACAACGCAGTTCCTCAGGACCTGAATAAAGTTCTTTGTCTGTCTGTCTGTTAAATTTTAGGCATTATCGAGCTGATGACTTTTTCAAGCATGTGCGTTAGATTGTGCTTAGTCTCTAATATTAGCTCGACTCATTAACGGTAATGGGCCAATCGCCATGAACATTGGGTGAATTGGGTGAGACAGACACGCTATACATGCAAGCCTCATAAAGAGACAGCCCCAACGACTCTGACGACGACGAGAACAGACTAGAAAATTATGGGAGGACATGTATAGGAGGGGACTGGCGAGGTGAGGGAAGCGCTTCAAGTTCAGTGTGGGTTAGGAGGCCTGTAAAGAACTGGTTATTTAACCTGGCGTCCCCAAGGTAGCGCAGGTGATCTTTGAAAGCCTGCCACTTTTGGCAGGCAGGAAAGAGCACATCTTTCTCGGTGGCCGCTGCTATAGTATGTGGTGGTGTAGTGATGTGACCATGGTTGCTCGCAACAGATTTAGTGTAGAACAGTGACACAGGAGCTGCTCAAGCCTTTCCTCCGTAATGCACTGGAGATGGGTCTGGAGATGGGCTCCTGGCATATCGTCTCCGTGCCGCCGACAATGTGCAGCGGTGTTCTTTCATGAAAGTGTGGTGGTCATGCAGTTACATTAGAACACAATGTGTAGCGGTGTTCTTTCATGAAAGTGCGGTGGTCAGGCAGTTACATTAGAGCCTCACTTCCGGCAACAAAAGGTTCAGGAGGAAAGCCTCCACGTACTGGGCGCTAAGCACTGCGAGCCATCCAGTTTGGCGCAGTGGTATTGTCTGCCATATAGACGAAACTCTGGTCCGTTTTTTTCCATTTGTTCCAATTTTCGCCCAGTGGTGGTCAAGACGATTTTTCGTTACTATATCCGAGTGCACATGCACCCTAAAATGTAGTCTATATTTTGTGAAGTATTGCAGGCCGCGAGAATTTATTTAGTTAGGTGCAAATAATTTGTTCTCTGCTGATTGCGCGCAGGCATCTTCAATAGCATGGGCATCGTTGGTCCCTCATTCGGCTTCATCTTGGCCGGGTACTCGCTGTCCTACTACGTGGACATCTCTACCGATGCCTCCGCGTACGTTGTCGCTTTAGCATGTTTTGTGCACTGATGCGCGTGGCAAACGTCACAGCGTCAGAACATCGACAAGCAGCGCCCCTAGGGAGACCTTGGAGGCAAACGTGTGTTTATTGCTTATAGCGTTCACAGATGAGCACAACGGCTGAGCTCGACTCCATGAGTTGCTTTAAAGAAGCTAGCGTGAAGTTACACAAACACTTCGCACACTTCAAAAAGCTTTATGAAGACCTGAGTGCACGAAGGAAAACCATTATGAGTAAAAGGAAAGCAGGATTTTTTTAATGTCGCAGCAAGATAAGTAACATAAGAGAACCTAACAAACTGTCATATCTATTACATGATTAATTGTGAACAGTTCCCATATATATTAGCTCCACCATGCTGAATAGGGCGGGTAAGATGCACGTGTATTATGTTAGGTAATGAATGTGCGAGATGCAAGAGGTTGCGTTCCCACGTTGCAGACTCGGCCTGAGCTCGAACAGCCCAGCATGGATTGGTGCCTGGTGGCTCGGTTTTCTGGTCGCTGGAATCATGGGCATCACGTTGGGCCTGATCACCGTGTCTTTGCCGAAATGCCTACCCGGTATGCACCCGCCCACTGCAGCGTGCAGCCTTGCTGTTTTGTCGAGTTAGGAGGATACGCAATTCACGCAGTATGAATCGCAGGAACGCAGGAAGTGAACCTCTTACAGAAGTTTTTAGCACACTTCGAGTAAAGTAATCTTATAAATTTTCGTAATATTCACTATACATCTTTACAGCAACGACTAAATACCGACTTGACAAACTTTACTACGACTGCGGCACCTGCATTCCAGAGAGGTTTCATACATGCCGTAATTTTTAAGATCATCATCATCTTCAGCCTGACTACGTCCACTGCAGGACAAAGGCCTCTCCCATGTTTCGCCAGTTAACCCGGTCCTGTGCTTGCTACTGCCAATTTATACCCGCAAACTTCTTGATCTCATCTCCCCACCTAACCTTCTGTCTCCCCCAAACCCGGTTGGCTTCTCTGGGAATCCAGTCAGTTACCCTTAATGACCAGCGGTTATCCTGTCTACGCGCTACATGCCCGGCCCATGTCCATTTCTTCTTCTTGATTTCAGCTATGATATCCTTAACCCACGTTTGTCCCCTAATCCACTCTGCTCTCTTCTTGTCTCTTAAGGTTACACCTACCATTTTTCTTTCCATTGCTCGCTGCGTCGTCCTCAATTTAAGCTGAACCCTCTTTGTAAGTCTCCAAGTTTCTGCTCCGTAGCTAAGTACCGGCAAGATACAGCTGTTATATACCTTCCTCTTGAGGGATAGTGGCAATCTACCTGTCATAATTTGACAGTGCTTGCCAAATGTGCTCCACCCCATTCTTATTCTTCTAGTTACTTCAATCTCGTGGTTTGGCTCCACAGTTATTCTCTGCCCTAAGTAGACATAGTCTTTTACAACTTGAAGTGCACTATTGCCTATATCGAAGCGCTGCTCTTTTCCGAGGTTGTTGTACATTACTTTCGTTTTCTGCAGATTAATTTTAGGGCCCACCTTTCTGCTCTCCTAGTCTAACTCCGTAATCATGAGTTGCAATTCGTCCCCTGAGTTACTCAGCAATGCAATGTCATCGGCGAAGTGCAGGTTACTAAGGTACTCTCCATTAACTCTTATCCCTAACTGTTCCCATTCTAGGCTTCTGAAAACCTCCTATAAGCACGCGATAAATAGCATTAGGGAGATTGTGTCCCCCTGCCTTACACCCTTCTTGATTGGTATTCTGTTGCTTTCTTTATGAAGCACTATGGTAGCATTTGATCCCCTGTAGATTTATTCCAGAATGTTTATATATACTTCATCGACGCCCTGATTCCGCAGTGTCTGCATGACGGCTGATATTTCTATTGAGTCAAACGCCTTCTCGTAATCTATGAAGGCTATGTATAGTAGTTGGTTATATTCTGAGCATTTCTCTATTACCTGATTGATAGTATGAATGTGGTTGATTGTTGAGTAGCCTGTTCGAAATCCTGCTTGTTCCTTTGGTTGATTGAATTCTATTTTTTTCTTTACTCTGTTAGCAATTGCCTTTGTAAATAGCTTGTATACTACAGAGAGCAATTTTTAAGATATTCTTTTGCAACGTTCGCATAGATTCAGAATCTGTACCGCAATCCTGGACATGACGCGGACGAAGCAATAAACCTCATAGGGTCCCTCATGTGTTCGCCAAAGACCACTCGGAGGCAAGGGTCATGTTCTTTTTTTGTTTTTCTCGCGGTCGATGTATACTGAGTCCCAGCACCCGAAAGCTTTCTGCTCCGCACTTGCTCTTGAACTACCTCCGGAAAAGGCCTATGTTTGACCATGCGACGATTTCGTGCGATAGTGTCGTCGTGTAACGTAATGCTATGCGACGTCACAATGGCACTGCAAGGTTTCATCATCTGTGACGTCAGGGTGATGCGACATGGCGACTTATCAAGCCACAATTTTTGTAACGTGACTTTCGGCCTCGTTTGTTTTCACGCCGCCACCGATGGTCAGTTTTCAATTTCATCTGACTTATTGTTTATCATTTACACAAATGCGTGACTGTGTAACGAAGTGTGAAGTGGGGGAGAAAAAAAAAACAAAGCCGCACAAACGTGGCTTAAGGAAGACCTTACCCCTTTATTATGGCTGCACATAATAAAATACATAATCATAATAATACGCTAATAATACACAATTATACTGCACAATAACGTTACACTAATACAGGATCTATAAGGTATGGCCGATACACAATTGAGAAAAAAGCTACAAAAATTAACACTTGCAAAATGAATTACATTACTAGTACGAGTGCTATGTATAGTGGTACAAATGGCTAGATCTACCTTTGCAAGTTCTTCCAATAAGGTAGTGTTTTGTTTAGCCATAAAATATTATTCGCACAAGAGTCTTGTTTTGCAGATATTATGAACTTGAGTTACGTTCAATTTTTCAAGTAGGTTTTTGGTATGAGCCGAATACAGTACATTAGCGACGACGCATATTCTTTTCTTCTGCATGCGAAATTATTTAAGTTAACCTTGGTGGTCATGTCCCATACTAGATGCCCATAATGAATGTGAGATAAAAATAAAGCATTTGTATTTGATCAGGCGTGCGTACGGGAGGGGGGATGGGGGGTGGCTTCTCATTTAGTCATCTAAATGAGGGAAGGGAGGGGCGCAATGTCTGCCACATACTTTGACCTTAATGGGTGGGGGTTGCATGAAGGGTAATCCTGCCCATGCTATGCATCTAAAACATTCGCCTAAAAAACTCTCGCAGCATCTCTACCATCAATGACATGAACGAGAGTGCCGTGTAATTTCGATCTGTCTTGTTCGAGCGCACACTTGATACGATTGCCCACAACGCCATCGTTAAACATTGACGTTGAAATCACATCCCGGTAGCAGTAGTAAAAATAGTTTTTATGGTTCATTCGGAAAATTATGTGTTAAAGTCTAGACAAACAGGTAAAGATTCACTGCTGACCACACATTCATAAATGTCATTGGTCTAACTACAACAAGTCAAGGCAGAAAGAAATGAACGAATGATCATCAGTTGCTCTGGCTACAATGCATACTTAACGGTTTCATCCCATCATCATGAATGCTTAATGCTTGATGAATCAGCCTTCGGCTATAAGTTATATTGTGGTCATAAGAGCCAGCACTCATATTCATAAGAATATTTTATTCTGAAAAATTTTTGTGAGGGTGTATTTCAACCAAGAACGGGCAAGATACGTTGTTAGCAGACCGGCTTCTCAATGGGAAAACACTCTTGGTATAGTCAAAACTTTTGTGCATTCACCATACTTTTGTATAAGCGGTATAATACAGCTCGTTCCAGGTAGTTTGGTTGTCGAGCCGTTAAGTACTTTGCCGTTAGTTTAACACGTTGAGACATGCTAGAAGTAACGGAAACATCCAGCAACCTGGATTTTGAGCTCTTGTAAAAAAATAAACCGAAGAACAAAGCCAAATTTGTCAATTTCAGTGACCTGCTGGCTTCCTCAGCATTCCGGCGGAGTTCTGGAAGCAGTTCTCATGCCATGTCTTGTTACGTGACGTGCTGCAGGTTACGAAGTGGTGCGGGAGGAGAAGAAGGCTGACCAGTCTGGCGTCACGGCGGTGAGCATGGCGTCGAGCGAGTTCGGCCTGCGCCTCACAGACCTGCCGAGGGCTGTCCGCCGGCTCTTCACGAACATCCCTTTCATTCTCCTCTCGCTTGCCGTGTCCTTCAATCGTGAGTAGACATGTTAGAAATAAAAGAACAAGTGATGCTTGAGGGATGTAATGGAATACGCCAAACACGTGCGTGTGTGGTAAATCATATCGGCACACTATTTGCACTTTTTTTGTGCAAGTTTGGGAATTTGTCGCCGTTTCATTGCGCGCGGTTTGCATTGATGGGTTGTAAATGCACATGCATTTTTAAAATTTGTTTATTTGCATATTTATTTATCTACAGAAAATCAGAAAATCTACAGGCCCACGAAAAGCGCCACGGTGAAAGGGACATGCAATACAAATCAACACATAATGAATTGGATGCATGTAAGGATTATTGTCACAATGGAAGTAGTTTGCATATTACCGCAAAATACAGATGCTATAAAAAGCAACAATAAAAATTTAGCACATAAGCAGAAAGCAAGATACTAGCGAAGCACACAAGCAAACATATGCCAAACATGCAAACAAGGAAACATGTCAACAGAACAGTGATTCACCGCGGTCTTGTTGTAAAAGTGGTCGTGGTTGAACCGAAGTGCTCCATTGTAGACCATGTGCATGTACAGCCTCATTTCGGCTCGTTCTAACTGAAAACCAAGGATGCAAGTGTTATTATTTTCAGGCACAAAGTGTTAAAGTACATGTCAAATTACAGGTGGTTGAAAGAAAACCCTGACGAACTAGTCACTGCACGCTTAAGGGAGTCCACTCTTTTTTGATAATTTAGTTACAATAAACTTCAACATGCAATTTCGGTATGCCAGAGCCACTTACTCTCAAGTAACAGAGGCAACGTAAGCATTGTTTAAAACAGCAAAGTTCAATGGTCAACACAATAAAACACTTTCAAGATCTGTGAAGTGGCAACCGGGTCACATAGAGAACGATGGATTCCTACACCTTGTGCTCGATGTCAAAGTTTTTGGCCAGCATATCGGCAATGTCTCATTTAGACGCTCCGTGACTCGTCTGACTCTTACCTCTGGTTTGCCTGAGTCAGGCCCGCAGCGTACCTCTGTCGGTGATAAGTACCTCATAGGAACCACGACTAGGGATAATGTTATCAATGAAAAACTTGGCTACCCTGGCGGCGTTGCTTTAAGGCAGGGTGCATGACTCAGCATAGCGGCTAAAGTAGTCAGTAGCTACGACGATCTATTTGTTTTTAAAATTCGACGCCGGGAAGGTCCCGTTAAGTCCACCCTGATTTGCTGGAACAGCTGGTGAGGTGGCTCGACAGGCTGCAGGAGTCCGGCTGGCCTAGTTGGTGGTGTCTTCTATAGCTCACAACCTTGGCATGTCTTTACGTATTGGGAGACATGGGCCGTGAGACGAGCCCAGTACTATTTATCTTGAGTTCTCGCTAGTGCGCGGGAAAGCCTAAGGTATACAGCCTTAGGGTCGTCATGCAAAGCTTCCAGGACCTTAGGACGTAATGTTGTAGGTACTACGAAAAGCTAGTTGGCCTGAATTCGTGAGAAGTTCGTATTCAGTGAAACGCCGTTCCACAACAAAACGATGACAGTCTTTTATACTTGAATATCTTTGGAACAAAGGTGACCTTGCCCTCGAAGTATTCCGCAAAATCCTTCAGTTCAAGTTTGGTGAGCGATGGGTCAGCAGAGGAACTGGAGAGGCAATCGGCGTCAGAGTGTCTTCGCCCGTACTGGTAAACAATGGTAAAAAGGAATAGTCACCGACTCCACCATGTGAGGTGATCTGAAGGGTCCTTTAGGTTAGCTAGTCAACCCAACACGTGGTAGTCACTGCCAACTTCAGAAGGCCTGCCGTAGAGGTATGCGCGAAATTTGGATGTAGCCCATATGATTGCACTATTTTTTTCTAGAATAGTTGGCTTCCACATTGTATAGCGAAAAGCTAGAATCACTGATAACTCTTCGAGGTGTGTTAATACTCTGCACAAGAACGGCTTCAAGGCCTGCGCTGCTTATGTCGGGAGGGATTTCTATGTCGGCGCATTCCTCGAAGTTCGCAAGTATCGTTGGCATCCTTTCACTTCTTGAAATGCTTCGACCTGTGTGGTTTCCTACCCAAATTACATGTCGGTTTTTGTGAAGTGAGTGATAGGCGCACCAATCCATGAAAATACATAGAAGACATTTGCGTACAAGTCTACAAATCGGCGTACAGTCTTATTGTCGGTGGGTAATGGGAAGACAACAGCGCCAGCTGTTTTTTGTGCATTGGGGTGAACAGTAGACTTGCTAATTACGTGACCTAAGAATAAAATATTCTCGTACGCGAAGAGGCCCGTTTTTGGCTTTAGGGTGATTACGAGGGAGTACGGGTGCAAACATGCACACACAAGAGAGAAGATACAGATACACAGGTGCTGACTTGCAACTGGTATTTAATGGCAGAATGAATATGCCAGCGTGAGGCATCGTGCTCGCTTTGTTACTCCTTTGCTCTAGAATGAACCAACTTTGCCAAGAAGGAGGTTTAATAAAGAGTGAGTGTGGATGACTTAATTGCTTGAAGTATGACTTGAAAGTTCCGAAGGTGAACATCGAAGGTTGAGGTCAACACAAAAACTGTCGTCCCTATACACGAGGCAAGTCTGCCCTTTCAAGCTCAACCAATAAGGTATAAATAACGCGTTGGAACGTTGGAAGGCATAGTCTTGAACTCAAAAAGGCCGTTTGGTGTTATAAAGGCAGTTTTCCGTCGGTCTGTCTCGTCGACTTCAGGTAGCCAATAGCTGGTTTTGAGGTCCATCGACGAAATGTACTGGAAAGTTTATCCAGGACGGCAGCTATTCTCGGGAAAGGATACACGGGAGAGAATTTCGTTCAGGTGGCGATAATCGACGCAGGAACATGGGGTTCCGTTCTTCTTATTCACTAAGACCGTGGATGATGCCCATGAACTCCTGGACGGCTGAATGATGTCGTCGCGTAGCATTTAGTTCTCTTGTTTCAATACAGCCTTGAGTTTTTCGTCGAAACTCGGTACGGACTCTGACAGAGGGGTATGTTTTTACTGTGTTATGATGTAATATTTCGCGCCTGGGATCCGTGAAATTCTTGATGACGTCGAAAAGCAGTCTTTGTATAGCAAGATGAGGGTTTCGAACTGTTCTTGCTTACAGTTTGGAAGGCTGGCATTGACTTCGAAGGCTGGTTCAGAAGCTTGGTAAATCGGAGTACGCTCAGAATAATTGGTGAGGGCGAAGAAATTGGTGTCTTTCACAGTTTATCCGATGTAAGTGGCCTTCATGGTCTTGTTCGCATGCTTGATCTCGTTACTGATATTTGTGAACCGGCCTTTGGCTTTCCCTTCCCGGAGCACTCCTATTCCTCTACTCCTCTTGCGACGCTAATCTTGTGCTTCATCAACTGGAGCTAGTCACTCCAACGACACCTGCCTCGTGTGTTGATTTGTGAGAACCGAGAAGAACGATAACGTTGCACCGCGGGTGAATAGCGACCACGCTTTCGAGCACATTTAAGGCGGGATTTTTTGGGGGGGGGGGGGGGTGTGTACGGTTTTAGCGCTTTTTTGTGGACAGCGTTATCGCCTGCAGCCTCAGGTGGTGGATGCATCATGAAGGCCTACTAAGTCCATACAAAGGATGACATCTCTCGAGGAAAGCTGAGAGATATGAAAATCGCTGAATAAACTCCATTGTTAATGGTGGCTCTCGCTACGCAGATTACCGTTGGCGTTACTAGACCACCGCTAACTGACATGATTTTGCTGTCTTCCCAGGCAGTTTTGACTTCCTTCAATTCCGTGGCGAACGGTTGACTGACGACGGAGTAGTCTGCCGCGCGGTGCCAACCAGAGCGACCACGTCACAGCCAACGTTATTAGATCCTGGTCACAGCCGGTGATGTTGGTTGGTCGTCGCTTTGCTTCGCGGTTAGGTCGCAACGTGGGATCGTGACTTGGTCAGATTGCACACTGCTTCTATGTCATGCCATCAGGTCTGCTTCAGGCAGCAAGGTTTCGTCGTTAGGGCTCCATCTGGTTCGCGGTGGGCTTTTAAGGTTTCGTTGTGGCGTTGTCGTTGGTGGTAAAGGATCTTCGGTTGCTCGCCATAAAGCCTCGTGGAACGTCCCTAGTCATGTCCACTGTACTGCTGTTATCGCCGAGAAGACCGGTGATGGCGAACGCCGGTGTCCAGGCGACGGCGCTTTCGCATGGCCGCTCATCACGCCAGCTATGTTCCGTACTAAGCGGAAGAATTCCCATTCAGAGACATGAAAATTTCCTATTTGAGGTATTTTCCCCATATAATTTTGACAATTTTCCCAGGATATTTCTCTGCACAGCAGTACTGACTTCCGCCCCCATTCACACACACATATACTATAAGTATACTTGTGCCTGACATACTGGCGACTTTTGAAATCATGATTAGACCCTCCATTGCCGCAAAACGAAAGCATGATTTTAATAATGCATATACTGTTAGTGGACTGCACATTGTGGGGTTCAAGTCTAACAGCAATAGAGATCTAGAAAACGCTTCGCGTAAATATCAAAAACAAATCTCAAGGGCAAAATGCTTGCGTGGTGTATGCGTCAGAACCGATTACAACAGAAGAAGACACACCGTGACCGCTAATTATCGGTTGTCATAAGAGAACTTAACCATCCCTGAAATTCCTTGCAATATCACGAAGATTCTCTCCTTCCCTTTGGCTCAAAATGAGAAGCGAAAATTCCCCCCAAAAAGAAAAATTCCCTGCACGGAACGTCACTGCAGCACGCTGGGAACGTGGTACGTTGACGGCGAAGCCACGTAGATCCATCTGGCGGTGATCTCGGATTCCCCCAGACATTCTAGCATCTTTTGCGTAAGGCATTATTTACATGTGCAGTAGGCCGGTAACATAAGACATGAGAAAGGTGTGTGTGGGGTAATACATTCTGCAACTGCCTAGAGGTTCAAGTTATATATGTCAAAATATCGGTGCTCTTCTCTCTGAAACCTGGGCGCTCGTTTTGTAGTGCACATTCGAGGCACATTTAAAATCACCC